CCCCTCAACACACTGCATTTTATCTGTTTCACTAATCCAACAATTTACACTCTCTTTAAACTTCACTCAAGCAATTTACTCTTCCAGCAAGATGCATTGTAGTTTATGGCCTATCTCAGTATTTAATTAAACATTACAGAAAGCTCATCTACCATTACTAATCTACTCAAAATGTTTTAAGATTATATATTTTTTCTAAATCTAAAACTTTTTACTTCAAATTATCCTTATGTCAGTCGGTGTTCTTTCTTTTCTTCTTTGAGAATTAAGTGCTTTAAGGGTTTAATTTCAGACTTTAAATTCCATTTCCTTTTTCCTTGTCAAACATCAAATCTTTTACGTTCCGAAGTTTTCCAATTCACAGAATTCTTATTTAAATAACCTGAGAAAGAGTAAATATACTTTACCTAAGAATACGCTACCACAAGTCACAATTACATGTAAGAAGATACACACTCCATGTCAAATATTTCCTACAATACACGTGATACAAATCCACCAACAATAAAACATCAACCCCATGAACTGAAACACACCGCGAAGAACTGAAAAAAAGACAATAACTTTTCACAACACGTACTGTACTCTCACCTAGCGAATGGAAACGATGAATGAAATCTGTTTGTTTACGTTAGTCAGCTGATCCACGACTCCCACGCTGCTTTGTTATTGTTTTTGTTGCTGGCGCGGGAGGGTTGAATGTTGCCGTCTATTTCGGTCTTGTTTTTGTAAGTTTTAGTATAGTTGATGTTTTTTGTTGTTCTTAATGTTGTTGTGTTGTTGGTGGCGGTGTTGGTTATTCTATTTTTGCAATTATTATCAGTCATTATGATTCCAGTTAAGTTATGATAATACTGTTATCATATTCAACAACAGCAACTGAAAAACAGCATTAATATCATCCTCATTTTCATTATCATCATTATGATTATCATCTTTATCATAATTTTCATTATATATTATTGTTGTTATCGTCATCATCAATGTCATTATCATTATCATTATTGATATCATCATTACTATCATTAGTATCCTTATCATTATTATCAAAATTATCATCCTTATCATTATGATCGTTGTTATCATTATCATCATCATTATCATTATCGTTACCATTATTTTTCATTATTATCATTATTTTTATTATTATTATTATTATTATTATTATTATTATTATTATTATTATTATTATTATTATTATTATTATTATTATTATTATTATTGTAATCATTACCATTACCATTGTTATCGTCAAAATATACATTATTATCATAATCATAACAATAATGGTTATGATGATGATGATAATAATGGAAATGACAATAAATATATTAACAACAACAACGTCAACAACAACAATAATGATAACAACAACAAAAATAATAATGGTGATAATAATAATACAACAATGATAATAGTAGTAGTAAAAGTAGTAGTAATGATAACATCAACAATAATAGTAATGATGATAATAATATCAATAATAATAATGTAAAATAATAATGATAATAACAATAATGATCATGATAAAAACAATGATAATAATAATGATGATAATGATTAAAATAATAATGATAATGATGATGATAATAGTAGTAGTAATAATATGCCTTATTATCATTATTATTGTTATCATTATCACTATTACTTTTACTTTTATTGCTATTATTATCATCATTATTAGTATTGTCATTATCGTTGTGATTACTATTATAATTAAAATCATCGTTGTTATTATCATCATTGTCATCATTATCATTATCATAATTATAGTTATTATCACTATCGTTTCCATTAGTATAATAATTGACAACAAATTAATAATAATAATGATAATGATAACAATAACAATAATAATAATGATGATAATAATAATGATGATAATAATAATAATAATAATAATAATAATAATAATAATAATAATAATAATAATAATAATAATAATAATAATAATAATAATAATAATAATAATGATAATGATTTATAGATAAATGATAATGATACTACTACTGATAATAATGATAATAATGATGATAATGATGATGATACTAATACCACTACTACTAATGATAATAACAAGTATTATCTTTTTCACCATTGTTGTTACTATAATGAAAATTATCATTATCATACTATAACCAGCTTCATCATCTTTAAAATGATGATTATCACCATCATCATTATCAGTGTCATTATCAATATCTTTTTCATTCTGTTATTCTTTATATGATTCCCATAGTTTGTTTTCCTCATTATCATTATCATCACACACACAAAAAAAAAAACACATGAAAACACACACACACAAACGTACACAGGTAGATGGGGAGGTAGATATACCGTACACATGTACACACACACACACACACACACACACACACACACACACACACACACACACACACACACACACACACACACACACACACACACACACACACACACACATATATATATCATACACACACACACACACACACACACACACACACACACATAC